ATTTCTATTTTATTTTAGAGAATTTAATTTTATTTTTTAACCTTTTCAAAGTTTTATTATTTTATGTATTGAATTTAATCTTTTTTACTTTTTATATATTTCGCTTATTAAAAGAATAAATGTTTCATAAAAGTTTCTAATTACCTCTCATAATTCTTAATATTTTGAAAAAATATTTTTATAATACTTTATTGATTTTTAAGATTCTAGATATTTTAGAGTATAATTTTATTTTTTTCACTTTTATCAGATTTTTTAAATTATATATTTTCATTTTTGTTTTTCATTAATTTTATAAATATTTCAATTATTTATAATTTTGATTGTTTTATAAGTACTTTTTATACAAACTTTGAGGCATGTGATGTCTTCTAAGAAATTAACATTACAAAAAACATGTTGTTTTTCTACAATTTTCCACTTTATAAACTATTTTAAATGTTTTTTTATTTATAGTTTTGAGTTTTGTATTTTCATATTTTCTATATATTTTTTAACATTTTCCTGATTTTTCTTAAAACTTTAAATGCCGTTTTCAAATTTAACTTGCAAGTTTTCCTCTTTGATTTACTATGCATTATTTGATTTTATTATTAATTTGATTGTTTTATTATTTTCTAAGATTTTATTTTTTAAATACTTTTATTGTTTTCTTACTGTCTTCACGTTTTTTACATTTTAGTGATTTTTTTATTTGAAAACATGAATCTTGTAATTCTTAAAGTTTGTACAAATTTAACAAAGATAGTGTATAGAGCAAGGCTAACTCCCACGCACGCTTCCAGGGAGCATAGATTCCAGTAGCTATTCAATGTAAGGTCTATTTTTGAGAACCAAAGTGTACGTAGTCTATTTTTGAAATAAGTTTTCAAAAATGAAAAAAGTGATATTACTTTTCATCTTTAGTCTAGTTGCGTAAAATTCCCTACAAACAATTGTCGAGTGTTCTTTTTCCGTTCCTCATCATACTCAACATTTGTTCCTCACTCATTTATTTCAAATTACTACTCTTGATACATCACTAAAAAAGGTTTAATTGTTGCGGTTATTTTGACGTAATTGTTGTGGTTTGAAACCACAGAAGGTTTCATTATTTTTTTAAAAATGTTTTAACATATTGTGGCGGTTGGTATACAACTACAACAATTCCGACATATAATAATAGCATTATAACATTACATCTTACTGATTTTCTCATTACAACTCCAAATGCACAATTGAACATATATTATACCAAAACAAGACATGTGTGTAAAAAATCATATGTCATTCATAGGCATTTAATGATCACCAACAATGTCACTTATCATGTACGTAGTGTTACAAAAATTTCAAACAAATCCAATACAACAAAAAAAATTAATATAATTCTTTATGTATACTATAAGGTTTACAATAAGTTATCGCAAAAACGGATCACCCATGCATCCCAAACTTCACCAAATTCATCTATTAACAACATCTGATCTCTTAAAGTGTTCTTGGAAACCTAAAATACTAAGCAATTCCATGTAGTACATTTAACATTTGAAATTTTATAATAACAATTTGATTGACAAGTATATCTTTTAACTAATAATAGTATAATACTATAATGTGGCACTAAATCATTCAAAAGAATTTCTCATTTCACTTTCTCTATTAGATTTTACCTAGCATATATACCATTCAAAGAGATATAAGGTTTGTAATGCCCTAAATTTTTACACATTTTCATAACTTCATAGCTACAAAGTAAATAAATAAAGAAATTTTGAGATGAAACATATATGTATATATATTCATGTTTTCATATATATATATATAGAGGAATGCTCAGGTCCATCCGGAGGGAAGGAAGCCACCGTCCGAACTTTGCCATTTGGGGCGGTTCCCGCTGGAATTTTTTGTTGAATTTTTTTTAGCGTGATTCTCATCAAGTCTACTTTGTCCATACCAAATTTCAGCTCAAAATTCGATCGGGAAGGCATTCAAATCATTTTTTGAAGGTGACTGCGCCAAAATATACATATAAAAACGCAGTCAACTTCAAAAAATGATTTGAATGCCTTCCCGATTGAATTTTGAGCTGAAATTTGGTATGGACAAACTGACAAACTAGATTTGATGGGGAACATGCTCAAAAAATTTCATCAAAAAATTCCACCGAGAACCACCCCAAACGGCGGAGTTCGGACGGCGGCTGGACCTGAGCATGTCGCAGGTGACATTCATATTGGGAGCTTATTATTCGCCACACTCATATGACGTGACCCGTTGTTGTGAGTGTTTAGTACTCAGTCAGTGTACGTTGAGTGATCGGATTTCATAGGGTCTGTTTTTTCAATATCAAAAGCGCACATTACTTGATATTAAAAATAAGGTAGATTCTATGGTACCCAAAAAGTACCGTACCTTTGTCCACATGAACCAATCAGAATGTTGTAGTTGAATTATTTAAGTCTAAATTAAAATTGATATACCTATGTGGACCAATCAAGTGAATGGTAGGTACGGTACCCCATTTTTTAAATGGGTACCGGAGTTCTCACCTAAAAATAATAGTGGCGTAACTCAACTTGCAGTTCGGGTTTGTAGTTTGAACTCACAAGTGTATACCATATTGATCATATCAATACATGATATTTCAATTTAGGGAAAAATACGGAAAATCTATTTGTGGTTGGACCCATTTTCAGATAGGGTAATGTGTTTCATTTTTTATCAAAGTGGTTCATGTGTTTGAATTCCGTTATCCCAATAGGGCCACGCCGTTAAAAGCGTCTGAAAATGACCGTTAAAAATAACTCCGATTTTCAAAAGTGCCCGAAAAATTAAAAGAAAATTACTGGAAGGTGCGCCTCATCAAGATGATCTCCAAACCACCTTCGCCTTTAGATTTTTCAGATCTGTTTGAATTATTTTTTAAAAATGATTTCGTTAATATCACTTTTCCGGTGGACTTTTCGGTGTCAAGGGTGGCTGAAAACAAAAAAGAAAGGTGGTTTGGAGATCATCTTGATGAGGCGCACCTTCCGGTATTTTTCTTTTAATTTTTCGGGCACTTTTGAAAATCGGAGTTACTTTTAACGGTCTTTTTCAGACGTATTTAACGACATGACCCTCTTATGATAACGGAATTCAAAAACATGAACATAAAGAATGAAACACATGACCCTATTTGAAAACGGGCCCAACAACAAGTAGTCATGGACTCAGGTCGGGCCGCCCGCCCGGAACTGGTACTGTTTGGGCCCGGCCCGGTACCCGATTATAGGACCGGTCCGGGCCACCCGAGCCTGGAATTAATAGGGCCGGGCTCGGGCCTCCTAAAAGTGGAACCGGCCCGGCCTTTTTTTTTGGGTTTTTCAAATTTTTTGGTTTCTCCCGGGTTGGTCTGGGTGTTTTGGGAGGGTTTGGGGGGGGGGGGGGGTTGGGGGGTCGGGGGTTAATTAGAAAAGCAAAAGAAATTAAAAAAAAAAACATGAACCTGCCCGGGCCGGTTCCGGTTCTTCCCCTCCCCCAAAAAGCCCGGTCGGGCCCGGCCCGGGTCCATGACTAACCACAAGTACCTTTTCCGTACTTTTCGTTTCAATTTATTATAATAAATAATGAATAAAATGAATACTAAATAATACGGAGTATTAATATGTGATAGAAATTGAGGTGAGCTAAGCAAAAAAAAATAATGCTATAAGAGCATCCGTATTCATGAGTTTATTTGAAGATCAATTGGATGATGTGTAAGATTATTTTAAACATTATCATTGTGAGTGAGAGATTATTTAGTGAGATTATTGAAAAAGAAAATTCGGTATCAAGATTCAAATCCCGGATTATTTTAGATTGTAGTTAAATTACATTTAGTGCATGTTCGAAAAAAAACTGATTATTTGAGTATTATTGTTGATGAAGAGTTTTAAGCTTGGAGATTATTTAAAATTTATTGAATAAATGTGATGTGACAATGACATGTAATAAAAAAAATCGTTTATTTAGAGAGCATGAATGAAGATGCTCTAAATCTTTATAAATTCTCACGCATTATTTCTTTCCAAGTAAAAATAAAGGTTATAAAAATGAGGAGGGGCAGGCACTGGTTTTCATAAATTTGTTTCTAGTAACTTTTGACGGCAATGATATTGTTCTCCGCAAAGTTTTAAATATGAAGTTCTTAACAAATGGTTTCATGTTTTCAAAAAAAAAAAAAAAAACAAATGGTTTCATACCAAGTTTTGGACTTTTGGACCATCAATGAAGCTCCGCCCAAGAAATACTCGTCAAAAAGTTTTCTTGGCAATTAATTTTTATTAAAGTGTTCAAAACGTCAAGGTAATCATACAAAGACCCACTTTTTATTTCGTTCAACTCCTCCATCATATTACTACCAATTTGCTCATTAAATCTTGCACACAAGTACCCCAACCACTTGCTCCATATTTAAGCGCATGTAACATTGTAACTAATAAATCATGCTTCTCTTTCATTCATGAATACTCATGCTAAAATAACTTTTTGATTGTTTCTTATTTTTTATTTTTGAAGTACTTGGCACACTTTAGTATCCAAACTCTAGGATTGATTCAATTGAACACGGAAAATTTGATTTTAAGTGTGAAGAATAAAAACATTTAGTTTCTTATTAGTTTCAGCATTTTTTTACTCATTCCCCTAAGATTTTTCTCATCTAATTGTTTCTTTAACAATTAACACTATTATTGCATCCTCCATTATTACTGAAAACAGTGTTAGCGAGAGTTATTTTCTTGAAGCTTGAGTGTGAGACTTTTAATGAAAGAAAAAAGAAGGAAATTAGTGTTAATGTTTTTGAAGCTTTTGGTGAGACTTTTAATGAAGAGCAATTTGGTTTAGTAAAGATTTTATTATCTCTAACCACAAGGAATTGTGAAGAGAAAATTTACATGAAAAAGATTCTAGTTTCACAGGAAAATGATTACAAGAATGAGAAACGTAATATCCATTATGGTTTCTGACTATTCCGTTACTTATAGTGCATTAGTGCTAACTTCCGATTCTTGCATAAGACAACTACTAATGATGTAGCTTCTGAAATGTTACATACAGTTGACACAGTCAAGAATGGGTGCAGAAGAATCCCCAAACATGATGAATCCCTAAGGGCCCCCCACGTCCCAACATGTGGGAGGTTGAATCCCAGAAGGTTGAATCCCTAAGGGACCCTCTTGACAAGGCATATGAGAGGATATAAATCGCGATAACTCAGTCGGCCTCATTGTGGTAGACCTTATACATGTGCACACCAGAGGCCCAGTCCCCAATCGATCGATGCGGGTTTCGAACTTTGATCATTCCTCCAATTTTCATGGGGGTCCAAACGTAAAGTTGTGTCTTTATGGTCATTGGAGAATTTATGATTTAGGTGTTAGGTGTTCATTTATTTTATACAATTAAAACTTGAAAGAACAATAAATAAAAAAATAACTAAATTTATACATGTATACTAACATGAAACAACTAAAAAAAGACCTCTTGCTGTCTTGCATGAGCCTAAGAAATAACTCAAGCAAGATAAACAGATGAGTTATATCCAAAGGAGGAAAGATAGAAGAGTCATCCTATACTGTCAATTTGTCAAAACAAGATATCCTACTGAACATGAAGTGCTCAAGAACAGAAGAGTACCAAAAACAGGATGGTGCACAAAATTGAAGATGCAACAAAACTCAACGAAAGACTAGGAAATGGATTTCATTGTACCTTCCCCACCAACAAGATAAGTTATATGCCGGCAATAACTAGAGAGGAATTATTTCATAGCTAGTGTAGAGCTAACAATAAGAAGAGCTTACTAGAGATATTAAGCAAACAAGAAAGTTTTAATTAATCACTTATCATCTTAATTCTCTGAGAACTTCTTTCCGCTCATACACCACTAAAAATATCATTATAGTTTAGATAATTAGGCATTTAAGAGTCACAAATAGTGGAATTGGTACATAAATTCAAAGGAATAGCAATTCAACAATTTAACAATATAGTAAAATTATAATCAAATAATAATAAAACAAGATAGAAAATATTTAAAAATGAATAAGGAACATCTATTGGGTCTTGAGAACTTAATTTGAATGGTCAAAGCTTGCCCTCCCTAGCTTGAGAGGTTATGTTATTTTATGAACTCTACTGTTATGAATACATGCATATTCATTGTTACATGTGTGTGTAGATAACTAACTAATCAGCCTATACCATTTCATAAGTTTTCAGTGCAAACAAACATGCTTTAATTCTTGATGAATTTATTATCTTTCAATCATGGAGGGAGGGAAAGGTTAGAGGGGCCTCAACTCCGCCACCCCAACATTTTCTAAGTTATTTGTCACTATTGGGTTTGCACGGAGTTTTGGTATTTTTATTGAAGTGGAATATATAAATATTGGGTGCTAACGTATACAATATAAAACAAGTCGAAAATGAAAGGTATACAATATAAAACAAGTGGAAAATGTCAAAATGAAAGTGAGATAACAAATATAAATAGAGTGACTAATTAAATTTAATAGCTGTTCGAAAAAATGATTCTTCATACCTCAATATTTAAAGTATCAAATCACCCCTCTCAATATTCAGGACACTTATCATCCTCACAGGGACCCTGTCCTGGACACCTAGTGGCTTTGACGGCCCAGTGACCCGCTACTTGGCTGATAAAATGCCGAGTAAGTTCATTCCTTAAGCTAGAGGTGCCCTTTCAATGCTAGCTCGATATTTGTCTATATATCTGGGATCGGACAGAATGTGTGATATGTTGCCCCTTGCTGCTGCAGGTAAGGTTTATCCATTCCATATAAAAGAAAATAATTAATAAACGGCACGACTAAAAAAGTTGAAAGTTCGATTATTCATTCTTAATTTCTTATTCATTGTTTGAAGGGAGAACCAAACATACAGATACAAACGCATTAAGATGGACAGTGTGTACATATATTTGCGTACACGTGCATAAGTCATTAGGGTAGGAGATCTCTATCTACCAGCTGCTATACCGCGCAGAAATCACCAAACTAGTAATCTTTAACCGCAAACCCCATAGCAGTTATGTTGTTTATTGTGTACAAAGAAAGAGCAAGTTAAATAAATCATTTCCACTTTTTGAACATGCCTCCATGCTTTCCTCCCTTCCCATGCTTGAACTTGCCATGATGCTTCCCGTGCTTGAACTTGCCATGATGCTTCCCGTGCTTGAACTTCCCATGGCTGCCATAACCACCATGCCCGCTGGCATAACCACCATGCCCGCCAAATGGAACAGCTCCATGTTGTTGTGGAAAGTGACTACCCCCTCCGTGTGACATGTGACCAGCTGCATATGCAAGTCCCGCAGCTGCAGCTCCACCCGCTAACATTGACCCAACACCAGGTCCATGATGCCCTGAATGTAACAAGCAGGTTTAAGCTTTCATTTGATAGCCAATTCTGGCTGGTTATGCTGATCATCAAAATAATCAGAATAAGCAGAACAAGTCGCTTTTAGCTTAATGAAACATTTTTCATTTCAAACAGATTTCAGCCAAACAACCCTTACCAAACGGGCTCTACCAAAAAAATACGGATGAGAAAGGTGCCACTTAATTGATTATCTATGGTTCTCATACATTAAAAAACAATGAAGTTTATGATAAACAATGCTGAATAAATACTTAAATAGACAGTATGAAGGGCTTGACAGGAATAAAATACTTCAAGTATGAATACATCGGCATATATTATACTCCCTCCGTCTCCGAAAGAGGTTCCCACTTTCCTTATTTGGATGTCCCTAATTTAAGTTCTCATTTCCTTAAATGGAAAGTTATCTACATCAAAACAGTACCAAACAGTACCAAACAGTGTCGGAACAGTGTCAAAATAGTAAAATTTATCCCTGGTAAGTTTACTTGCATAAAAGTGTGTGAAAGTCAAATGGGGAACTTCTTTCGGGGACGGAGGGAGTAATTATTTTGAATAGGCAGTGCACAGGATACCAGAAAATACAGGCAGCTTATGCAGAAAGATACAAAAGAAAATATTTACCTGAACTGGTTGAGTGTGGAGCAGATGGACCAGCAGGATATGCATTGGGAGGGTAACCTGCTTGAGGATAACCTTGCGGAGGATATGCATTGGGAGGGTAACCTGCTTGAGGAAAACCTTGTGGAGGATATGCCCCGGGTGGCGGAGGATATGCCCCTGGTGGCGGGGGATATGCCCCGGGCGGATAACCCCCATGTGGTTGGAGGTGGTGTGCTAAATTAGAAAACAATCCCTTGTCTTGCTCTCCGTGCTTATTATGCTCATCTCCTCCTCCCATTTTTCACGTATAGAAACAAAAAGTACCTAAAAGATAGTGGTAAGGAGTACATGAGATTAAGATGTTAATAGGAGTACGTACATGTGTGCACTCCCACGTGTATAAGCATACACACACACACACCATACAGCTATATCTTCAAGCGTAAGCAGGGAATCAGATTCAAAGCCATTACTTTCCTTTTTCCTCTCACTGTTTTCTTTCAGAATCTCTTAAATATATGAAGTTCAAATCCATGTATTCCAAACTTTGACCATTCTTCAAGCAGAAACTTAATAGAGATAATCGGAACATACCTTTTTGGTGCAATACTAAAAAAAGTAAATTTGAGGAGCTCAACCCTATAAATAATTGGCTTTTCACATTATTTAACTCCATAAATCAAACTCCGCCCTACATATGACTAATGAAAAACAGATCAAGCCATGTCAGGAAAAATTCATTTAAGGATAGGGGACTATTTCATGCAAGTGCAGGCTCCAATTCTATGAAATCATGCCTTTCATCCAAAAAAAAAAGAAAATCTATGAAATCATGAATGATGCGACTAACTTTCCTAAATCATATCAAATTCACAAGATTAATCTCAGTTCCAAATGCACACGCAATCCATTAGTAGCGGTCACATGACCCAAAAAGCTTCCAACTGTCTCAACACATACAACAGACGGATTTCAAAAAAGGAACCCCCCCCAAATGGTGTAGCAGGCTGATTAACCTCTCTATGCGAAATTGAGAAACATTGCGAAGTAAAAAAAAAAAGTCAAAAATATCATACGAAAGACAGAATCGCAAACGCATCTGACAATTCTCACACCAAAGGGAACGATAGGTAGTGATCGTGAAGTTACAGAGACATGATCGCAAACATAAAAACGTTTCAGATTCAATCAAGAAAACGTAATAAAAAAACAGGAAAATACGATTTCGGATGAGGAGGACCTTACTGGTGAAATCGTAACTGGTGTTAAAATTCAAGAGCGCATATCCGTGCTAGCGGGTAAGCCTCTTCTTATCAACGATATTTCATTATTCTAATTTACGCGTTCCGGACGCGCATATGACGTGGAGGAGCCGAGCACAAACGCACAATTGACTTTCTCTCATTTATCCTCATTTGGAGTTTTGGACTACCATGTAGACCGTAATTTGTCTGGTCTGCATTGATATGGTAATGTCTAATTTTTTTGTATTTATATAATTATTCAATTCTGATTTTGTCTGTTCTGGTCTGGCTTGGTCTTAGGTAAATTACAGTCCAAATAAAACATCTTAAGTTCTAAAAAACGAATTAAATGATTTAATTAAAATATGAAATTACGGAGTAACAATTAGGCATTAATCCTAATATCAATGTTAGTTTTTGGTGGAGGAAATGGTCAATTGAGTATATCAACACTTGTATGAGGTGGATTAAAGAATACATTATATTGTATTTGATATTTTTAAGTACATAAACTCGAGTTAGAAGTGTTAATTATGTACACACGTTTGATTAACACGTTAATATGGATGAGTTGGCTGTCAGAATGTTGAGTAAGAAGGGGTACTCGGCCGGGGGAACGTCGGCCAAGGTTCTGGCGTTGACCTTCAGAAAGTCGAGCAAAAATGAAAAGTCAACCTGCTGGGGTGCATCGGAAAAGGGGAAGTCGACTAAGGGACTGGGGGCTAGCGTCAACCTATAGGAAGTCGATCTATTAGCATTCTGTTAGCCAAATCAACCATATTAACGTGTTAATGTAATAGGAAGTTGACCTATTAGGCTCTTTGACCCGTTTTCACCAACCTCCATATTGACTTGAACTTCCACCAGATTCTGCAAGTTCACTGCTCTACATTTCCTAGACTCACCTTCCTCAACGGCTCTAGCTTGATTTTGCTCTTCCGTAGCTCCCATCTTTCCTTTTCCCATTGAAATAAGTCCCTGGACCAGATAATAGTCAGCCTATGTTGCCTTCTCTTGTATCCCTATCAGCTGCCACTTGTTAACTCTCGCCCCTCCACGCAGAATAAGCCACTTATTCCCCGGATGAAGTCCTCTACGTCTCATATCTGCCCTCATCCAAGGGCCATAAGGCTTCTCTCCCACCCACGGACCCATTGAAATTAGATGGGAAATAGCGATCGGTATGGCCCAGCAGTCCACAGATAAAACAAAGGTTGGGAGTCTCATATTTGAAATATGTCCAAAACAACTACCCCCCTCTTCTCTAATTTGTGTCCTTCTTTCAACACATTGTTTATATTTATAGAAACACGGATACATACATACTCTTTAATGTCTCCTTTTAGAGTTCTTTCATCAATCTGAATCAGTTTCCCCAGGTAATGACCAATACATGTCGCCACTGTCTCCGTCATAAAGCTTAGTGGTAAGTTATGGATCTGCACCAGAACTCTGCATGATCCAGCTCTACCAGAAGTAGTCTATCCTTTGCTTCCACCCTCCCAATAACTACTAAATTCTGATCAAAGGACCACGGTCCATCGTGGAATACCTGAGATATATCATTCTCATGATAGAATTGGACCATGAACCGCATATCTTTGATCTGTTCAATATTCGCCCCTTTACTCGGGCACCATATCATTGACTTTGTCTCACAGAAGGGGACATGCCGGACATGTTTGTCCGTGACAAGCCTGGCAACCGCAGAAAATGTGGTTTGTCCCCATCCCCACTACCAACATCCAGTGGTCCAGATTCAAACACAAGTTCACTATTTTCCTCTTCCGCAAAAGACATCCTCCCGTAGTCAAAAGTTATTTTCTCCATTAAAATATAATAGACCGATAGCCACTGTTGAGGTTAAGTCCCGGAGATCCGAAAGCCCAACACATGCTTTGGATATTAAGGACGTAGGTTTGGGTTAAAAGGTGTATAAAATATAAAATAGTGAATAGACCTGAACTCAGAAACTAATCTTGCATTAATAACACTTCCTAAACGGTACGTCAGAATAGTGCTTAATACAACAACCAGAATGACAATTCTATTATTAAGCTCTGAGTATCAAAATGCTAACCATTTACAATGTATTCAATGCAGGTATTTATACTAAAGAGGGGGTAGGTGGGATGATGACGTGGACGAACCCTGTTTGCTGCTGCCTCTGCCACTTGTGCACCCCATGCCTCCACTTGATATCGCCATGCCTAGGCCCCCCAACCCCCAACCCCAGACCCCCTGGAGTAAAAAAAAGAAAAAAAAAAACTAAAAAAACAATAAATAATCAATTGCAAAACGTTGCTTTAATTTTTAATGTATACTAGAAATATTATATTTTAGTTTATATTTATTATGAATTTCTTATTAGATGTAAAGCTATTATATTATATTTATGGTTTAGTTTACAAAATTGATCTCTTCTCTTTTTCTCTCTCTTTTTATCTTCTTTATCTTTCTATATTTTAAATATTATTTTTATCTTTTATTTTCTCATGTTCTTTTATCATTTTGTCTTTTATATGTTCTATGTTCTTATGTTCTTTTTATCTTATATTTATTTTTATCTTATCCATTTTATTTTATCTATTTATTTTTCTTATCTTTATTTTATTTTTGGCTCTGATTTATGGATCGATTCATGTTAGACGACCATTGAAATCTTGTGGGAATAGTGCTTGGATGGTGTTCTTGTCTTATTCCCTACATAAGTACAACTATATTGATCAATGCATTTTAGTCATATCTTTACTGCTTTTTACTAATAACTTTGTTTTCTATCGAAGGTTAAATTTTTATCTTGACAGAATAAATAAGTATTATATTCATCTCAATTGTACCACGCATAATATATATATATATATATATATATATATATATATATATATATGTGTGTGTGTGTGTGTGTGTGTGTGTATGTATATGAATTTTTCAAACTAAACACAAAATATATATGAAGAGTATACACACTTTTGTAGGAACTTTTCTAAGTTACACTGCCAAAAAAATTATAAAATTTAATGAACACGTTATCACTTATCATACGTAGCTTTTAAAACAAAACTTTGTTAATTCTATTATAGACAATTTATAATCTTACTCTACATTCTGTTTCAAAAACTGGAAAAGGATGTACTCTCTCACATATACTCTTTTTATTTTTACTAGTATCGTACCCGTGTGTTGCACGGGACAATAATACCCCTCCCAGTCCATAAAATGTGACCAAATTTGATTGACATGCATATTGATATAAAAAAAATTGTGTGATATGAGATTTATGCATGTAAGAGATCGAAAGACTACTTCAAAAATGAATTTTAAGGGACAGATAAAAAATGAATTGGTCAAGTTTTGTGAGATCGGGGATTTGTATGTTTTAACTAATTATTTGCATTGGAAGTAGTTATAAAGATATGCTTATTTTGAATGACTATTAGGAAAAAGATCCATTGATCAAGTGTCTTACATAAGAGTTGATGTGAAGAAATACGTACTCCTTATTACGTATGGAGTATAAAAATCATACAGACCACATTAAAAGATAATTAAAACAGCACATGATAGTTATAATCAGTGGTGTAACCAGTGGAGGAGCTAGGGGGGCAAGGGGGGGCAAGCGCCCCCGCTCCGACTATTTTTTTTACTAGTATTACTTATAATATGTTTCTTGCCCCGGCTTCTTTTTTAATTTTAAAAACAATAAGTACAACTTAAGGTTATTTTAAGATGAAGTGTTAAAATAAATAAAAAAGTATTTTCAGAAAAAGTAAAAAAAATGAAATATAGAATAAAAGGGGATTAATGAGTCAATGAGACAAATGAGCATCTAGTCTAAGGCTAAGTAAAAAAAACGGGCATAAGGAGAAAAATGAAAAAAAAAATACAATTCTAAAGCCCAAGCCACCTAGACAATCCCAAAGCCTAAGCCCAAAAATGAAAAAAATAACAATTCAAAACGTAATCACTAAAGTCTAAAGCCATTAAGTGGGTTAAAAATTCAAAGCTTCATTAACAAAAGACCTAGGCAGACGGCAGTCCCTTCCCACTCCGCCAAAAAAAATGAATCGAGCAGTTGAGAACACAGGCAGGCAACGAACGTGAGAACTGAGAAGCAGCATCGCCCGCTCCCTCTCCGGCTTTACTCCCCAACAGAAATCTACCTTCCTTCTCCAGTTCTCCCCATTTGTTCTCAGATTCTGCAATTTTCAAGTAAGTTTCTCATCTGCCAATTTATGCCCATATTAATTATTTGTTCTAATCCCTAACGAAAAATCAGAAATTATTTGTGTGAATCCTCAAATCTCAGTTCTAGATGCAATTTAATGCTATTTGTATAAGGAACATTTTTAATTCATACTTATTTTTGTTATATTTAGGAGTATGAGTTTGGATAAATTTGTAATTAAGACTAAGAGGTCGTTGATTGGAGGTGTTAGTTCTTCAATTGTTCCTAATCAGTCTATCTCTAGTGTTGAAAATGCCACTGCGTCAAATGAAAATATTGCTAGAGATGAGAGGAATGAGAGGGACAAGAGAGCCCGAACAGAAAGTACACATGAATGGGATATTATTAGTGATCCATTTTTACGAAAACCAATTAATGAATATGCGTCGGGGATTAGGGATGATGTGATGAGAGCATATGTTGTTAAAGGTGCTTGTCAACCAGCATCTCATAAGTTTCCACGAACTGAATTTGGTAAGACATTAAGGAGCTTTCGAGGAGAGTGGTTTAAAACTTGGGAATGGTTGGAATATAGTATTTCTAAAGATGCCGCTTTCTGTTTTTGGTGTTACCTTTTTCATGGGCATGAAGGAAAGAGATTTGGTGATGATGTGTTTGTGAGGACCGGATTCCGTAAATGGAAGAAAGCTCCTGAAAAATTTAGAGATCATGTTGGTATTGTAGAGAGTGTGCACAATGATGCTAGAACACAATTTTTTGCTTTCAAAAATCAAAAACAAAGTATTTCAAGAAGTCTCTCTTCAGGAACACAACTGTTGGGTGCGGCATACCGTACTCGTTTGAATGCAAGTGTGGATTGTGCTAGATTTTTAATTGCACAAGGATTGGCTTTTCGTGGTCATAATGAGCGAGAGAGCTCATTAAATAGAGGAAATTTCTTGGAATTACTAGAATGGTATAGTGCACGCAATGTCGATGTGGCAAAAGTGGTGAAAGACAATGCACTTTCGAATCACCAACTTACTAGTCCTATGATTCAAAAAGATATTATTAATGCCTGCGCATCACAAACAACAAAAGCCATAATAAATGATCTTGGTGACAAGTTTTTTTCTTTATTGATTGATGAAGCTCGTGATAGTTCTGTGAAAGAACAAATGGCAGTTGTTGTGAGATATGTAAACGATCATGGAGTTGTGATTGAGCGGTTCCTTGGGGTTAAGCATGTTGTTGAGACCACATCTCTTTCTTTAAAAAGTGGCATTGATGATTTTTTTTCAAAACATGAATTATCAATGTCTAGAGTTCGAGGACAAGGGTATGATGGAGCTTCTAATATGCGAGGTGAATTGAATGGATTGAAGACTCTTATCTTGAATGAAAATCCACATGCGAGATATATTCATTGTTTTGCTCACCAATTGCAATTAGTTGTCGTGGTTGTTTCTCAAAAAAATAATTTTGTGAGTGATTTCTTTGAATATTTGTCCATGATTACTAACATGGTTGGATCCTCTTGTAAATGAAAAGATGAATTTCGCCAAAAACAACATGAAAACATGGTAGCCATGTTAGAAAAGGTGAAATTACGACCGGGAGAGGATTGAATCAAGAAAGTACTTTAGCACGACCGGGAGCTACTCGATGGGGTTCACATTTTACAACCATTATTCGTATTCTATCTTTGTGGTCTCCAACAATCCAAATGCTTGACAATATATTTGATGATGGAATTGATTCGAAATCAAGGGGCAAAGCTAGTAGTTTGGTTGAAAAAAAGGAGAGCTATCAATTTGTTTTTATAGCCCACTTGATGAAGAAGGTATTGGGATTGACGAATATGTTGTCACATTTCTTGCAACAAAAAGATCAGAACATTCTTGAGGCTGTGAGCTTGATTAAAAGCACTAAAGAGAAGTTCCAAGATTTGAGAGAAAGTGGATGGGAAGAGTTATTAGAAGATGTCAGTAAATTTTGTTTGAAGAATAAAATTGACATTCTAAACATGGAAGATAAAACTCATCGTTCTAGACGCGTTCGCCATCTGGTAACAAATTATCATCACTTTCGAGCTGATATTTTTTATCAGGTATTTTTTATTAAAATTTAAATTATTTATTAGTTGTTGTTATTATTATCATTATTATTATTACTATTACTACTACTTTTTATTATTACCTTATTGTAGGTTATAGACCAGGTCAATCTGGAAATGGAGAATCGCTTTAGTGAGTCAAATACAGATTTACTCGCTTGTTTAGCTTGCCTTGATCCTAAAGATAAATTTTCCAATTTCTGTGAGTCAAAGCTACTCAGTCTTGCGGAGTTATATTCATCTGATTTTTCAGCTGTTGAGCAAATGGAGCTTAAAGAACAACTCCAAGTTTGGATATATGAGATGAGAGGAAATGAAGCATTTTCCACTTTACAAAGTATTGGTGAAGTGTCTAAGAAGATGGTTGAGCTTACAATTCACAAATCTTTTTACTTGGTCTATCGTCTTATTGAGTTGGCTCTAGTGTTACCAGTTGCAACAGCCACAGTTGAAAGAGCTTTCTCAGCGATGAATATTATCAAGACAGATCTTCGCAATAAGATGGGAGATGATTATCTTACGGATTGCTTAGTATGCTACATCGAAAGAGACATTTTTCAAGCAATTGATAATGAAGCTATTATGCAGCATTTTCAAAATATGAAAACTCGTAGGATTGATTTGCCTAGGTTGCAGAAGTAAATCAAGTAGTATGTAATGAACTATAATTTTTTGTTAAATTATTACGCTATTGTTGTTCTTATTATATTTTGGACACGAACTTTAAAATTTTTAGTCTTTGGTTTGCCCCTCCTTGTACAAACCTCTGGCTCCGCCACTGGGTGTAACTAAAGCAATACTGTCCCAGTTTCTAAATAAACATTCCACTTTCCTAGCCTTTTCAGTCCGTCCTTATAAAAGTCTTCTTTTCTTATTTAGTAAACAAAACGGTGCAAATCAGTGTAAAACAATGTTAAAAAGTATCAAACAGTGTCAAACATTACCATTTTATTATATTGTGTGTAATGTGAAAGAGAGACTTTTGAATAGGAAGATAGGGAATATATTGACTTGGATCGGCACAAAGAGTTTTTTTTAAATCTTTTTACACATACCGTTTTACACTAACTATGTTAGCACTCCTAACTATGTTGGTACGCCCCTGCAGGTTATAATTATTGTAAGGGTCGAACTTACACAAAAGCATCCACAAAATCTATACAAAAGCAATAAAAAACACTAATTTTAATATATACTCCGTGATACTGTAATACGGAGTACTTGCTACATTAACTTTAGTTGCACATTTTTTAAAAAATTGAAGCCATGTTCGAAAATATCTGTGAAGAGGCGTTAATAAACGGTAGAGCCATGAACGTTAATTTCACTCTTCGGTAGAACTAATACATATCTTTGTGGAAGCGAGCTCTACTGTTCATCTTCGACACCCCATGAAAATTAAGTGTGTACCTGTAATTCTGTAAATTTATGAAGATACATACATCTATCTCAAACTACCTTCCATATCTTTTTTTGCATGGTACTTCTATTACTTCTCATGGACAATCAAAGTTTTCAAACCCCCACTCACATATGGTAGAATTATTCACTCATTGATAAACGGATGAAATCATACAAGTGCGAACGTGTTTGTAAAAGTATCCAAAACAATCATGCATGGCCTGAACAAATAATTGTTTTAAAGGAGTAAAAGTGTAAAACCGTAAAGGCATGTACTTAAAACTTGAATGACCGATTTGGAAAGTACGTGATAGACTAATAATTCCCAACATTTACCAAGCCTATAAATCACGAAGCACCGCTTAAATCACGAAGCACTGGTTAATTCCCAACATTTACTTAAATGACCGATTTAGAAAGTATGTGTTGCATCATATCGGCAGAACCGTTAATTAATGAACGGTTGCAACCTTATGGTGGGAATGGTTATTGCCTTGGTTTCCCTTTTTATATTAGTATAGATTTTTCTAATATGTTTGCATTATTATTTTGATTTAATAGGTTTCCTCCTCCAACTATTTTATCAGTTTAAATCAAATGACAATATTTTTGCAAAAGAAAATGAAAACTGAAACCGAACTAAAATAAATCGAACCAATCAAACCATGGTTTAAACTTTTGAAATGTAAAACTATACGAAACGAACTAGACTTTTTACTTTGATTCCATATTAAATTTTTAGCCAAGGTGAACCAAAAAACCGAACCCACCCCTAGTTCGGATCGGTTTTCCGGTTTTACGGTTCCAAGTCCCAAGCCTAACTTATACATGTTACTTTATATTTTTTACTCTCTTCGTCCCTTAAAACTTTGCCAACTTTCCTTTTTTGGATGTCTCACTAGTTTTGCCACTTTTCCTTTTAAGTAAAGAATTTGTGGTTCCAGTTAATTCTCTCTCCTCTACACAAACCTTAATCACACAGTTTTTATTTCATTAATCTCCGTGCCGGTCAAACTTGGCAAAGTTGTAAGGGACGGAGGGATGTATTTCATTCCAATAATTATTAGGATATATGTCGTATTTTATAAAATTTTACAATTTTCAACACCTATGTGATTTAAAAAATGCGTAAAAACCCCCTGTGTTAATTAATTATGCGCAAAATCCTTATGTGAATAAATTCAATTTTCAAATAAAAGAAAAATGATTAATATTTTTGTATGATTTAGAGATTTTGACATATTTACTTGCATATTCAATCAGAATATTACAAAAAGTGATTTCCAAATCGTTAAATTTATTCATAAAAGGGGTTTTGTGTATGATTAATTAAAACATAATGGGGTTCGACGCATTTTTCAAATCACAGGGGACTATTGCGCTGAATTGCTATATCATGAGGGGGTTTGGTGCTTTAAATTCGTTGATTCTGTTAGGAACTGTTTTCCATTTTAAACTCTCCAACCGATAAGTCTTGTTCTGGTTATCAACTTATCATAACAGGTCCAACCCTAAGTGCATGTTTGGCAGACATAAGTCCCTGTCTTCTAACTTTTATATTATTCAAAAAATTTCTAAAAGCTTCTAGTTGTATGTTTGGCATGACAATGTTTAAGGGCTTTTCAAAAAATAAAAGATCTTTTTGAGATGCTACATGGGGTATGTTTGACACAACTAGCTGAAAAGATACTTTTGTGAGCTTTTTAGTAACTGTTAGCTTTTAGTGTCTGAAAAGATCTTAAAAGAAAAAGGCAGTAGCTGTTTGGTAAAAAATTGACAGTTTGATTTAGTTCTGTTTGGGATACAAGCTGTTAGGATGAATTAATACTAAAAGTCATGGGCTTTTCTCAGATGCTACTCCCTTTAGCATCTAAAAAAAGGTCTTTTAATTTTTGAAAAACTCTTAAAGGTTGTCATGCCAAACATACAACTATACAAAAGCTTATGTCTGCCAAACATGCTCATGAAGTAGCATTTGAGAAAAGTCTGTGGCTTTTAGGATTAATTAGTCCTAACAACTTGCATACCAAACAAAACTAAATCAAACAGTCAGCTTTTTACCAAACAGCTACCACCTTTTCAAAAGCTCACAATTACTAAAAGGTAGTGACTGTGAGCTCACAGCTACCACATTTTTATCAAACTAAATTAAAAGCTAACAGTTACTAAAAAGCTCACAAAAGTATCTTTTCAGCTAGTTGTGTCAAACATACCCTAAATATAGACTGGTAGGAATGTAGGATCCATCCCTCGCATTACTTTATCATTAAAAGTTTGGGGTTTGATTAATTGATTTAAGAAGAATTTTGGTGACTGCACCCATAATTTTGGCCATGTTTGGTAAATGGTTTATCAACCATTTTTTGGCTAGTTTGAATAAATTTAGCTGCTTTGACTGATGAATAACATGTTTGTGAATAGCTTGTTGAATCAGCTTCTTCATCCCAAGCACCCAAAAATGTATTTGATTAGAAACGCTATGCATCGCAGCGTTTTGATGTTGGCCGGTTCAAATGTTCAATGTTCCCAATATACTCCTTGCTTTTTCTGTAGGTTTATAATAGAGTAAAGGGTCAGTTTGGTCCTCGAAGTTGCAAAAAAGGGGTCAAATAAGTCCTTGTATAGAAAATTCTGTCCGGACGTGCCATTTGAGGTGGCTCCCGGTAGAATTTTTTGATGAAATTTTTTGAGCATCTTATTCATTAAATCTAGTTTACTCATACCAAATTTCAGCTAAAAATTCAATCGGGGAGACATTCAAATGAATTCTTGAAGATAACTGCGCTTTTAACGGCACAGTTATCTTCAAGAATTCATTTGAATGTCTTCCCGATTGAATTTTTATCTGAAACTTGGTATGAGTAAACTAGACTTAATGAATAAGATGCTCAAAAAATTTAATCAAAAAATTCCACCGGGAGCCACCTCAAATGGCACGTCCGGACAGAATTTTCTATATAAGGACTTATTTGACCCCTTTTTTGCAACTTCGAGGACCAAACTGACCCTTATCCCGTTTATAATGAATCAGGTAATACATACGTATTACATTCTTTTCTTAATGCTTTTTCAGCCTAATTTAAGTAACAAATACGGAGTCCTTTACATATATCATAAAAAAATTCATAATTTAAGTAATACGTAGTACTTTTTTAGCCTAATCAAGTACTGAGTGCTCTTCATGTCAGGCCGGCCTGACGGGCTGCCCCGTCCGACCGAGCCCGTTTGGGCACCTTCCCGGTGGAATTTTTTGATGAAATTTTTTGAGCATGTTCCTCATCAAGTCTAGTTTGTCCATACCAAATTTCAGCTCAAAATTCGAACGGGAAGGTCGTCAAATGATTTTTGCAAGTTAACTGGTCCGGAATATGTATTTTCCGGACCAGTTAACTTGAAAAAATCATTTGACGACCTTCCCGATCGAATTTTGAGCTGAAATTTGGTATGGACAAACTAGACTTGATGAGGAACATGCTCAAAAAATTTCATCAAAAAATTCCACCGGGAAGGTGCCCAAACGGGCTCGGCCGGACGGGGCAGCCCGTCAGGCCGGCCTGACATGAACATTCCTCATCAAGTACTTTACATACTTTACATATATCATCATTACCTTCACAAAATAACATGTTTTGTGAATAACGTAACATATACAGAGTAATAATATACTCCGTATAATTTAAGTAAACAAATCTGTAATATTTTACATATATCATCATTACCTGCTTTGGATGAAACTTTTCAACTCATTTTATTGATAAGATGTAGTATTAATTATTTATCAATTCTATTTTCTTTGTTGATTTTTTCTTTATCTATCTTTTCATTTTACTTTACACTCATTGACTACTAAAATAAATAAATGTGAATAAATAATACGTATTTAATTATATGTTTACAAAAGCAAATTATATTAAGTTAATTAACAAAGAAAATAGAATTGATAAATAATTAATACTACATCTTATCAATAAAATGAGTTGAAAAGTTTCATCCAAAGCAGGTAATGATGATATATGTAAAATATTACAGATTTGTTTACTTAAATTATATATTATTACTCCGTATATGTTACGTTATTCCGGTAATTGAACTAAAATTATTTAAACTCAAAATTTCCAAAACTGGTAGGTCATTTATTTTAATTTGTTAATTGTTTTAACACATAGAATTAAAAGTGTTTAAAACAGACGAGCTTGGTTATTCTATAGGTAATTGGAATTATACCATGATTATTATAGACCGATTAAAAAAATAGTACAAATGTAATAATTCCCTTATGCGTTTTTTTACACTCTAACCCCTATTCTCAAACCGTTAATTTACCGAACAATTATTGACAACAAGCTAACTTAACCGACCAACCAAAACAACTAACACAATCAGCCATTATCAAACTGCTATCATAACCAGCTCACAGTTAACAACTAATAGCCAATTGCCAAACAAGACCAAAATCACCAATTCACAGCAACCCACATTTTCTCTCTACTTAAATGTTAACCATGAAAATAATTATTATTGGGGGAAGTGCATCATGCTGCATTGCTATAACCTCTATTTGGGATGTGATAAGTTGTTGTAATAAGAAATCATAATCATAACATAAATAGTAATAATAATAATAACTTAAAGTGAAAAGCCATTATTGAAACAACACCCTACCACGCTTGAGCCGATGCTCTACCCATGCCAACATGGTAAGCATAGGACCAACTCTCTGCTGCTATAGTGCTATACGTTGCTTGCCACGGTCCAGATTACAACAACTCATGCCAACATGGTAAGCATAGGACCAACTCTCTGCTGCTATCCGTTGCTTGCCACGGTCCAGATTACAACAAGACGATACAGCTATATACACATGCATGCAATAGGATTAGCAGAACCTCAAAGCAGCTTCAAGTTCCTTCTCATCATAACAGTTGTAGCCTAGCAAATAAGCTCGGGCTAAAAAGTCAAAGACACAACAGCAAATATTAGTCTCTCAAAGTCTCAGTCCCAAAATAAAGTTCCTATTTTCCTAATCTAGGCCGTCCCAAAATAATTTTCACGCGTCCTTATAATGAATGAAATATGTGATTCTCATCATTTCACTGATTCACTCTTTTCTACCCAAACCTCAATCAAATCTATTATTTTTCAACCATTTTATTTATAAGTGTGCCAGAAGCGAACAAAAAGTTTAGTTCGGGACAGAGGGAGTATGTATGTGTGTGTAAAATGTATGTACGCGGCACCACATATGTATCGCTTCCCATAGGGCGAGGAGAATTACAAAAGTAGAACTCCCAATTTGGAGGGCCTAAATTTCGAAATTAAATTCCATATACTACGTAGTATTATATTTAAGTTCTTAAAAAACCACTTTAGTGTTTTATTAATAAAAATATGAATATTACTAGTATATGATAATATTTGAAACAGATTTCAAGACTAAACTTGTGCATTATTGTTACTACCTAAGTCCCAACTTTTATGATTAGCACGAGGCCTTCTAAATCTAATGAAAACCAAATGAAGGATAAACACCAACCAAATCGGCCAGATCCCATGAACGGTTCTGCTTCATCAATCCCACTGCCCTGCTGATGTTCCTACATTTTTGGGTAACAGGAAAAAAATGCATTATTGAATTGACAGAGCAAATCACTAGCCACAACCAAGTCGAGAGGTTAGTCTAAACACATATGGAGCACATGATTCTTACACGCAAGTACAAATGTACAGATTGCCTTGAGTCATATAAAATATATTTTTACTATGTTCTGAAATTGCTGAATCTTTTCAATAGATTAAATTCAGTAATATCAAAAGTATGAAGACTGAGTGTCATTTATCCTCATTCCACTAATCTCTTTAAAAAAAACTTTTGCACTGCTTTTTTCTATTAACAGTAGTTATAAGAGATAATTCCCTCAATAGGAGTAAAACATGAGAGAAGTGCAAAAAAAGGAGTAGGTTTTTAAAATTCTCCAAATAGGAGTATTTTTTCATGCTTGGAAAAGGATACCCCTGAAGGGTTTCGGCCAGCCACCGTAGCCGCCGCTGCCGGACTACCCCACCACCAACGGACTGACCCGGTTATGCAAGGGAACTAGGGGGAATTAATTATATTAATTAACTACATTAGGGGTATTAGGGATACAAAGTTAATCTTTAGTCCTATTTAGGGAATATTTAGCATGGACTCCTATTTAGGGAAAAGGACTTGTTTTACTCCTATTAAGGGCAATTACTTTCATTATATTTTACAGAACATTTGGTTGGTGGGAGCTTCTACTCCTTTCCACTTTAAATCTAAGGTAGAGTTAATTTCGCAGTCTGCTACATCCGAAATTTTCTACTTAGAAAATTATTCCTCATAGATTTGGAATCGTCTTCCCCTTACTCTGAAGGATCTTTTTTCCTACCCTATTCCCCACTTCATCAATCGAACTACATAATTAGAGTTCTTTCATATCCCCCAACTTTCTCCCGCTACATTCCTTATTACTTTAAGCATTCAAAAAATGTTAGTGTTCAGTAGAATCATTAGTCAATAAGGAAAAAACGATGCTACATTGCTACCAAATGCAGCCTATAAGAGTTCAGGTGTCCATATTTTTCACATGTATTGCTTACACACTCAGCCAGTCCTCTCTCCCTAAATCACAACCCCTCCCTCTCAAAAATTAAAGTACATGCATGAAAATATGAAAAAAAATCTTTGAAGCATTAACATGTCCATCCAGATAAAAACTAGTGATAGAGCAACTATGTTTAGTATGAAAATCCACCAACTCTTTTGGCATTATTATGATATATATGTGCAAACACGATAAAAAAGAAATATAAGGTTTGACACTGTTTGCGCATGCATATATATAAAAACTAGAGCGACAAAGCAACAGTCAGTGCTTAGATAAAAAATCTATCATTCCTTTTACGATCATTATTTGGCATTGTTATTATGTTAGGAGCGTATTTATATCCAAACTACTTTCAAAATAAATATTGTAATCAGGTAATAAAGCTGAAGAAGGCTTTAATGAATGTTGGCCACAACAGTCTTTTCATACTACCTCTGTTTTTCAAAAGATGCAATAGTTCAACTTTTGCTCTATTCATACGCTTCACTTTGACTACAGATTATTTGTTAAGAGTACTAAAATCATATCATAGAAAAAGTTAAATTTGTTTTGATGTAAATTTTCCAAAAAGAAATTGTTTTATAACTTTTACCAATAACTAATTATATACTCCCTCCTTCCCAATTTAAAATACCCACTTTGACTTGCACTCATATTAAGGAATTTTTTCCCCTTTGATTTCCTGGAATACCCTTTCACCGAGGGGTAAATTTTACTGTAGAGTACAATGTTTTGACACTGTTTGGCACTGTTTAGCACTGTTTTGCATTGTGTTGTCATTATTATTTAAGGGTAATAGAGTAAATTGATATAAATTTGTTTACCAAATAAGGAAAGGGGACTTTATTTAGGGACATGCCGGACATCCAAACAAGAACGTAACAAGTGTCATTCTTGAAAAAATAACTTTATTACTCCCTAGGGGTAAAACAGTCATACCACATCCGGTTCTATTTCTGATGGAGACAACATTCTGTCGAAACAGTGCCCTGAAATGGTACACACCAAGAGCTCATTTGTTGGATCAAGAACGACTTCCTTGCATGTGTCATCACATACTGCATGAAGACAGTAGAAAAGCAACACTAGTAAAATGGCATACCACGACCAAACAAATTATTAATGTAATCAAGGTTGTTAAAATCGTATTTTTGAATCGAATCGATAAATGTTTTTGAAAATCGAATCGCAAATCGTAAGATTTTATCAAACATATTTTAATAATTATAAAATAAATAAAAAAAATATTAAAATTAAGTTGCAAGTTAATGGTATTATATCATTTCATTACATAAAACTATACTTACAAGGTCAAAAACAAGATTTGTAATCTGTTTTTATAATGTAAATGTAGTGATTAATAACATTAAACATGTGTAAGTGTGTAACACATTAAAATAGTTAAATAACACAAGCATCCATTACTCTTTAAAATATACTATTCATATTATTATTATTATTGGAATTATGTATCAATTTGTAGTCACTAAAAAAAACTTATTACGATTTTGCTACGATTTTGCTACGATTTTATACGATTCTACACGATTTTAGTACGATTTGTTTACGATTTTGTACGATTTTATGATTTTACGATTTTACCTGCGATTTGAATCGCTTTATTAATGTAGAATCGTAAAATCGTACGATTTTATGTACGATTTTACGATTTAAATCGAGATTTTGACAACCTTGAATGTAATCTCATATTCCAGTAATCTAACATTCCTTCTAGGTAGCAACATCTAATCCTATTGAAAAAAAGTTATGCTCGTAAAAGAAAATTCATACCATGTACTTGTCCACTATTCTCACAAACAAACACATCACCAATTTGATAGTAAGTGCAAGTCTCCCCAGAGCAAGCATGATCTGCACATACTTTATCACTAAGGCCTTTGTTTTTCTTCCATATGGAGATTTGATCGGCTATAGTCTTATCAAGTATTATATGATCGTCGTTCACCTGCATATTGCACATCAAAACAATTATAATACGGAACTTATTGGCATATCAAACAACATGAGGCTTTTACCATTGATTAAATGATAAATGGCAGTAAAAGCACATCACTTAACAATTACTGCTCTGCCCCTTGAAAAGAACCTTATTTCAACAGTTGTTTTGTCCCAAAGAGTTCTATTTCACCAATGAAGCTAGAGGTGGTCATTTTGATTTGGTTTAGCCTAACCCAACCGCAAACCTAAACCGAACCATATGCAATTTTGTTTTAATCTGGTGATTTCTTTCAAAACGACAAACTGGTATTAAACTGAGTCGAATAAAACTCAACCATTTTAATCTGGTAATTTCTTTCCAAAAGGACAAAACCATATTAACCGAGCCGAATAAAACTCAACCAAATTAAGGAATCCAATAAAGACTTGATATATATTTAAAAATAACAATAATTTCAAACTGAACCAACCCGAAACATAGTTCAGTTTGTATGACCCCCCCCCCCTGCACAAATGATACTAGTATTTAATGTGGCCACATGAATTTTAGCAGTGGTACCTAAGCAAAATTAAAAAAATTGTACCTTCACCAAACATGACTCTTTTTTGGGGACAAAGGGAGCATTTTTTATTGTACTAAGAAGGTAAAAAATGAACACTAGTAAATTCTTAATTAGTCATTCAGGGGAAGGAGAAATTAAAATGTAAGGCCAACCCATACTTTATAAAATCACTAATTAGTCTGTCAGGGGAGGGATAATTTGTCCTTGAATTTTGTCCATTTTTATTTAAACAAGAGAACCAAAACGATTCAAGGAACATCAATTTTGTTTTACTTGTGAAAGAAGAGGAGCTTGGCTTCTCTTTGCTGCCTGCATTTGGATGTAATATTGTTTGAATTCAGATGGACAGTGCCTAACAAACTCCGCCATATCATCTGTATCTCGCTGTAGGAATACACAAGTTACCAAAAGTCCCAAATCTTATACTTCAACAAAAAAAAAAAAAAAAAACTGAACAAATGAATTAAGTACTAAACAAACACCTGAATGTACATCATCTTCCAAGCACATTCCCGTGGTCTATTTGGTGGAAGCAGACCCCACCTCATACAGTACCTGCATAAAAAACATTCATTAAACTTAAGCAAAAATGACAAAATAGCCCACGTACTAAATTTGTGAGTTGGTTTTTTTCTTTATATTTTCTCTTCTCTATTGAATGTCATTTCCTCCAATTATAATATGCATTTGACCGGCGTACACCAAATTGACAAGCGTACCAAAGTTTTACAGCAAAAAGAGATAATTAGATGAAGAGAGGATTGGATAAAAAGAATTTCATCCTAAAATATCAACTCAATAAGATGGGAAGTCTGGTGGTCTTATATTTAGGTTTTTTATTTCATAGTAGTATTAGTTTGAGTGGTATAAATTTTTCAACACACCTTACGATCAATCACACCTTGTTGTCTTGATCATGCAATGATGCAAATCTTTATTTCCACAAGGTACATACTCTCATCGTATGTGACCTCTCTAGAACATGCATTTCTCATAGGATTCTCAAACCATGACTATGGATCGTGTTGAATTTGATAGAGGTTTTATACAAAAATGTCACTCTGATAAAAGGAGTAGACAAATGTCTTATATGTTGGTTTGTTGTTTCATATGTAACTTATGTGAGACATTTTTTAGACAAATTCTTTAACATGTACATATGTCAGTCAATAAGTACAAACCATTATGATGTGGGGCATGATAGATGCTGAAAATGTAGAACAATGAAAGAAATAAATACAGTAAGAGAAAGAAAACACTTACAGTCGACGCCACAATGATTCATCAGATGCAGCATAGTTTAGGAATTTGCAAGAGAGTGAACAAGCAACAAGATCCTGCCAACGTTTTAAAAACACATTGCTTTCAACAACCAATAGTTTATTTTTTATTTTTCTAAAAGAAATCGTATTCGCATTGTATGTAAGTACAATAGTAAATACATACACTGATACACATAAAAAATGAAATGTATAATTCATCCTAACAGCAATGTTTTCTAAAATGACACCTCTGAGGAAAGGAATTTAAGTATTTGGTGAAGCAACTCAGGAGGTATTTTGCGAAAAACCCCAGTTTCCATCCACCTCAGAGCCCAAAGAGCATTGTTTTTTCTTTCTTTAGATGTATTGTTCATCTCCAATGAACCAGATGCACTCTTAGCTGAAAATGGAGATGATAGTACAGATTTCACTTGTTCAACCTCGTCAACTCTAATTCCTTTTGCTAATATCTTATGCTCCTCGTCTATCTCCTCCTCATCTTTAACAAATCTCATTTTCTTAGGTGCTCTTTCTTCTCCCCGCTCCTTCACCGGATCCTCATTCTCTTCTATGAGATTCTTGGATGTCATCTCCTTTGTCTCTTTGCCTCCCTTCACTTCTTCATCATTCTCTTCATCCTGCAAGGACATTTGCCTGAACATTTAATAATATAACAAACAGGGCGCTCAAAAAGGCACGAGGAACATCATGAAGCTAGGCATATTAAACATAACAGCAAGAAGAAAGAGGAAATTAAAAACAAAAAATCAGCAAATTTCACTGTTTTCAAATTCAATTTATTCTTCTAAAAATTGTAACGCATAGATCATGAAAATTTCCCTAGCAAGGAAAATGAAAAATAATCCAGAGATATTCCAAATAAATGATAACAGCACAAAATGAGATCATACTGCATACGAATAAACGAGCACGCATACTGATACCCGCAGAAATACAAAGATTGAACCTTTAAACAGAAATTAAAGTAGTCCAGCATTTCACCTGGTCGGCAAACGCGAGTACTTCGGATTCAAGGAATTGGGCAAGGGATTCATCTTCGTTGTCCGAAGAGGCCATGGAAAGCGACTCTTGATCAGAAATTGAATCTGCGCATAGATATACAGGTACTTGAGCTTAGATGGAGCGCGTGGGCGGTAAATAACATCGACAATCGGAGACTATAGTCGGCGAATCTGGACCGCCGATTGCTTCGGTGGGTTTGATGCGAAGATAGGAAGAGGTAGAAATCAAGCTAGTCCTGATAGCCTGGGTTCGAGATGCAGCATCGGGTCGAACTCAACCCGAATTGGATATACGAAAGGAAACGGGCAAATGGGTAGTAAACCAAGAGAAATCGTCATGTCAGGCCGGCCTGAACGGGAGAGCCGTCCGGCCGAACCTTTTTGGCGACCTTCTCGATGGAATTTTTTGATGAAATTTTTTAAGCACGTTCCTCATCAAGTCTAGTTTGTTCATACCAAATTTCAGCTCAAAATTCAATCCGGAAGACATTCAACTCTTTTTTTGAAGTTGACTGCGTTTTTATATGTATACTTTGACACAGTCAACTTCAAAAAATGATTTGAATGTCTTCCCGGTTGAATTTTTAGCTGAAATTTGGTATGGATAAACTAGACTTGATGAAGAACTTGTTCAAAAATTTTCATAAAAAAAATCCACCGGGAAGGTGCCCAAACGGGCTCGACCGGACGGAGTTTCCCGTCAGACCGGCCTGACAAGAAGAGTTCTCGGTAACCAATATTCCGGATAGACTAAAGTCATGGAAATTTTACAAAAGTAAGACATAGTCATGTTTTTTATGAAATTTAAAAAATTTACAAATATTGCTTTCCATCATTAGAAATTCAAGAAATTTTATGACAAACATATCACAATTGTCCATGTAATAAATTATATTAATAAAAAGATACCCAAGCATAATATATTAATATAGGTGCCAAATATCAAATTAGAGCCCCACATACCCATCGTCCTGAATCTCCTGATGTGGATAGTTACAGATCATGTCGATAAAAAAAATTCCTCTTCCATTCTTCCAAAAGGTTGAATCCCTAACCCCAAGGGCCCCCCACGCCCAGACCCGACAAGACTTTTGGGGGTTGTAGGTCACGGTGACTCAGTCGGCCCAATGGTGGTAGACCTTGTACTCGTGCGCACCAAAGTTCTAGCCCATCACATAGGAGATGTAACCCTTCACACGGCCGCTGCGGGATTCGATCCCTAAAATATTCCCCTTCCATTAATGCCTTCAACCACTTATCATAAACGTCCAACCTTTTCATCACTTTTGTAGACCAAACTTGCATGTTACTAGTTCATCACCTTGCAGACAACCAACGTGCATTTGTGAACAGTTCACAAACCCTCATTTGTGTTCTTATTGTAAAATTGTCAATTTGCATATCAAACTTACATGTCACTAGTTCCTCATTTTTTGGGGGACATAAGGACATTGCAACCATGATTCTTTACTAGCCCCTCCATCACATATTCTTTCACCTTTTCTAAATCTTATGTAGGTGGCATTCACTTTGGTCCTCATTGAATGGCCTGCAATTGCATTCATTTCACACATTTATAATCTTTTGTTCATTTCTGTCATGGGGGTTAGGGTGTATCTCTCTGAAATCTTAGAATTCCTTTTAGACCGTCTAAATTCTTTTTGTTCTGCTGCAGCATGAACAATATCTCCACCCTGCACATGTAAAACTTTCTTGTAAATTCGAGATATCATTATAAGAAATAATTAATGCCTCTGTAATTCTATTAACTAATTTCATTGTATTGTTCTGTTTCAAGAGATCAATATTGCTAATATGAACAAATAAGTCGAGCTTCACCCTCTAGGCAGCCGTCTCCCCAAGGGTTAGGGGTTGCTTTTCTCCGCTTTCGTCTTCGATGAAGTGCGGCTTTCTTGTGCGGCTTTTGTCCGTCTTTCGTGAGGCTCTCTTCTTCGGCAGATCGCAACGCCTATATGGCGGCCAAAGGTTGTGTACCCCTAGCAGCAAGTAGAGAGTTTCGAGGATACCGTTCATGGTTGAGATCAGAAAGTCATGGACGAAGCATGGGGCTAGGGACTAGAACAGATATGGATCGGAGACAAGGAGCGGAAGATACCACAATACTATTGGACCGCCCCCCTCCTGAACCGCCGCCACGGAGTGCAGGAGAGTTTAGGGTTTGGAAGCAGTATTTTAATTTTTTGTTTGCTTGCTATTTATCTTTAATGATCAGACTATTTATTTTTCTATTGATTATTTTTGTTGTTGTAAGACTCTTGCATTAGGACTGGGTGATGGGAGGTCTGCTTTTACCGACGTTGGCTCATTTATGCCCATTATAGGATTAACGAGTTATATTGCTTTTTTGGGGGGTGATTGACTCTAAGTCTGGTTCGAGGGCTGACGTCTGGTGGTTGCTTGTGGTCCTTTTGTCATTTTACCCCCTATCTGAATGTTGTGATATCAATTTAAGCCATTTGCTTTGACGATAAAAAAAAATGAACAAACAAGCCATTCATATGTCTTAGAGTCAGCCATGTACAATAGATAACTTGTGCAATTTTATTTCACTAATAAAGTTCAATCGATTTTGAGTTAAAGATGACAGTGAATATTATATCCAGAGACCAAAAGCAATCCAACACTATGAGATCACATGCTAATGCATTTCTTCTAATACTCCATCCGTCCCGCTAAGATTGTCCCATTTTACTTTTTCGGGAAGTCCCACTAAGATTGTCCCATACCAAATTTGGTAAAGATTGTGTGGCTCTAAACCATTCTTACTTTATTCTTACTTTATCAATTTAATATCAACCACACAAACCCACTTTTCTTAATAATCATGCCACCTTCTTCCGTCCCAATCTTAGTGGGACGGAGGTAGTAGTTTTAAGTAAGTAATTTTCTCAATTTTTTTAGAAGTACAACAAATTGCATTTTTCGTTACTGCTGTAGTCATTATTTCAGAATTTTAGAATACTAAACAAAAATAATTGAAGAGATTACCTTGCCACATTTAAAAACTTTTCCCTCTTTTTGTCCCTCTTTCCATTCATTATTTCTTTCTTTACCCTTGTCTCAAAATCTGTGTTTGAATATTCATGGTTCTCTGTGATTTCTGCACTTTTTTCCTTTGACCTATTCTTTCTCTTCATCACATCGAACTCATGGTCAGATTGCTTTTGTTTGGCTTGGTCTGTGTTTTCGAAATTCTTCTTCTCTGTATTTTTCTTCGATAGTTTTCTTTGCAGTTGGCTTGCTTTGTCCTCCTCCTTTACGATTGCGATTTTGAAGCTCTCAAGAACAATTTCATTCTAACATACTACCTCCGTCCCAAAAAACTTTGCCATTTTCAAAACTTTGACCGATTATATCTTTTTATTGAAAATTATTTATAATATAAAAAGTATATGAAAATGTTCTTTGTTAAAAGTACTTTCATAAAAGTATAAAATTTATAGCTTCCATAATATTATACTAATCAAAATCAAGGTTAAAATTTTTGGAATTGGCAAATTTTTTTGGGACGGAGGTAGTATTCATTTTTTCAGATCCATTGAGCGAATCTGGTTTCTTTGTTGTTTTTACTGTTCATATCTGATGGGTTTCTTAGAATTATTCAAGTGGCCTGCTATCTCATTTTAAAACAAGTGTATTATAGTCAAAACAATTGCAGCTGAGTCCTACGCCAGTTTCTAATCCTAATTTTGAAAACTTGGTACGTTAAAGACTTATTTGCATTATTTTTCCATCGTCGATAGGTAGATTAACTAAAATTCAGTTAACTAATTTATGTTTAATTAGTTAACTAAATTTCAAAGTAAGATTCCTTGGAGAACAAATTAAGAGGTTCTATTATGAACTTTGAATACTTTCTATTATTCCTTGGAGAAAAAGAAAAAATGAAACATATAGGACAACTTTGAGTAGATTTGTAAAAGGTGAGATTATTTGTGTAAGATTTTCAAAGAAAAGGCAAAAAAATATGGTACAATTGGTCATCAATCAGTTAGGGTCCAACTATAGAAGATGAAGTGCAAATGTATGATTATTCTGGGATTACGTAAATGTGGGATTATTTAGAGAAGACCGGTCAAAGGTCAGATTATTTTACAAATTTTCTTCTCAAGCATAAATGTTCTATATAAAACAATTTTTCTTAAGATTTATTATTTTATACGTTAGGTGCCTTTTTTAAATATAGCTCATAAAAATCAAAATTTTGTTTTCTTAAGTATGACAATATTGATATTGTATTGTCAGTTGTTATTTTATCATCCATTAAGTTTTATGTCATATAAATTGAAGAATAACCATATTACAAGTATGACTTACATACTAGTCATATAATTTAAAAATTCACCCGGGGCAACGCCCGGGTAAAACACTAGTTATGTTTCCGTGTTTGAGCCCGTTTGGTGATCCTGTTTTTCGACTTATCAGGCTTATCGACCAACTTTTTCACAAAACACGTAATTTTTTATTTCACGCTTTGAATTGTGTAATAATAAGAAAAAATAAGGTTGAAGTTACTTTTCTGGCTCTATTGGGTGAAGTTACTGTAGAGTATCATTTTAGCAATTTTCATATAATATTTTATTTATTTTATTAATAAAATATGTTTTCAAGATAATTTTTTCATATATCAACAGAATCAGCCAATCCCGCCACTCCAACCACAACTTCATAATTTTCAGCAAAATCAGCGAATGCCACTTATTTGGGTATTACCAAACGGACTCTTTATTTGAGTTTTACTTTGGAGAGTAATGGATTTGGTCAGACTTTTTCTATATTCGAAAATTTCGTCCGATTCAAGTGAGCGTGAGATATGTTCTTATCCTAGCGATGTCTAGATGTTGTGTATTATTTGTTGGTTTAATAGGCAATACTCATTACCTCTACAATTTTTCTCTTAAATATTGCACTAAACTCTAGTGTACCAAACATTTCAATACGGAGAGTATATATTTATCAGTTTTAACTTTGAAGTATTTGGAGGCTTGAATTGATTCGAACGGACTCTTCTTTCTTGTCTTGTGGCTATAAGAGTCTTTTAAGTGGCGTCTCACGCCTAAGCTTGTTTAAGTTGTTAAAACATTAAGGGTACGTTTACTAACATAGATATTTTTGGTTTTTCGAGAAAACTGGAAAATGTGTTTACATATTTTTCTTCGAAATTGAAAAACTAAGACACATTGTTGCTTTTCTTCTTAAGTTGGAGATCAAAAGTGACATTTCCGTGTTTTCCAAAATGGAAATACACAGTGCTACCGTATGTCATGTATTTGTTTCGCGCTTGGGTATTCAGTATTCAGTCGCGTTAACTTTTTTAGAACCATATAT